AGCAACGCTCCGCAACGTGGTGACGTCATTCGGGGCGACTGGAATCGATAAGGGAGTCATTTGCAAAAAATGGCAAACAATTTACCGGTCGATCTACGTCCCTACCCTCACCTATGGCCACGAGCTGTGGGTAGTGACCGAAAGAACGAGATCGCGGATACAAGCGGCGGAAATGAGCTTCCTCCGAAGGGTGGCTGGCCTCTCCCTTAGAGATAGGGTGAGAAGTTCGGCCATCCGGGAGGGGCTTAGAGTAGAGCAGCTGCTGCTCCACATCGAAAGGAGCCAGCTGAGGTGGTTCGGGCATCTGGCAAGGATGCCCCCTGGGCGCCTCCTGGGCGAGGTGTTCCAGGCATGTCCCACCGGGAGGAGGCCCGGGGCAGACCCAGGACACGCTGGAGAGATTATATCTCTCGGCTGGGCTGGGAACGCCTTGGTATTCCCCCGGACAAGCTGGAGGAGGTGGCTGGGGAGAGGGAGGTCTGGACCTCTTTGCTTAGGCTGCTACCCCCGCGACCCGACCTCGGATAAGCGGATGAAGATGGATGGATGGATGGATGGCAAACAATTCCAAGGAATTGAAACAGTGGGAACCGGTTCTCAACAAGAACCAGGTTTCGATACCCATCCCTAATTACAGGAGTGGTACCAACTCATAACATACAATTTTTTGGCTTGTAATATTAGAAGCGCTTAGTAGAAAGACTATTTAAAGAAAGTGGAAATAGCCACCTTGGTGTCACCTGTCTTGAGCTTCAGGTTTGGCATTTTACCATCACAAACTTGTTTTTGTTTTTTTTTACATAGAAAATACTATACTTGGATAAGATGCTAGAGAGGCACAAGAAGTGGATCTGACAGAGAATGTAAGAACTCTAATCATGCCTAACGTTATCAGTCCTGCTCTAGTGAATGTTTTACTTTGTGATCATCCATCCAACCATTTATTTTCTTCCACTTATCCATTTGTGGGTCACAGGGGACACTTGAGCGTGTGGCAGCTGTCATAGACGTGGATGCGCTACACCCTGGACAGATCACCAGACTAACAACAGGGCTAACACATAGTGACAGATTGCCACTCGTGCTACTTTTATGCCTAGTAAAAATTTAGATCCCCAATTAACCTAACAACATGCATGTCTTTGAAATATGAAGCTGGATTACCTCGAGGGTAAGCCTGAGGAGAACATGCAAACTCCACACAGAAAGGCTCCAAGCCAGACGGCCATAGCAAGAAACAAGTCCATTTTATACAGTCTATCTTTCGGGAGCGCTCTGAAGTTGCAGTTCTGAAAAACAAACGCAGACAGAAAGCTGACTATAATCAAAGTCAGTATATTATTCTTGTGTTTTAGAGTAATACCATTGTTTGTCACTTATGAATACCAAGCAGGGGACACTGATGTGAGAGCAGATTAGTTCAGTGAGAAAAATACGCACAAGCCCAGAGCATAATCATCCAAACCAAGCCAGTGTAATTTGTTCACTAATGGCTGAGGGTATACTATTCAGTGACCTAAATCCTGACTGACAAATAGTTTATATAACCATATAACTGTTATTCATTTTATCAGAACAAACATTGTATAAGTTAGATAGCTTGAAATGCTTTGCTTACAGATAATGTTTAAATCAAGCTGTTAGTGAATAACTTCAGTTTGTTCATTGATCTTTACTGCAATTTAAGTAGAGGGTTTATGGTTGTGTATGTATCAACGAGTTCTACTCACTCTCCTGAGATATACAGCACAGTTTAAGCATGCATGTACACATGTCTTTATGCGCCTTTGCCTTTAAAGTATGCAAAAGCTGTGCTCTTCATGCATTAGTGGGCTTGTTCTCGTTATATCTACTAATCTTGAATACACATCGCTCCGCATTCTGGGTGTTTACTTGTGTGTTGGGTTTGACTGCAGTGTAACTAGAGCAATAGGTTTTTTGCAGATCAAAGGAAACAAGGAGAGACGTGCAACATAATCTTCAGCTTCTCGACCCCCCTTCTCTCTGTTTTCTTTTCAAGTTTGATGTGTTGTGACTTTTTACTTTCAAAGCTACGAGTGAATTTGCATATTTTTATTTCTGTAATTGGAAACACTTGGTTGTAAAGTTTCCCTGCCACCTACTTAAATCTTTGAAGGTTACATTTCATAACTAATTCAATAAAAAAGGACTACTCATTAAAAAAAGGTGGAAAAAACAACATCCGTTGGTCTTATTTTAAACTTAGAGCCTCTTGCTGAAAATACTTGTCTCTGATGATTTTTTTCTTTTTTCTTTGACTCATAAAAGGAAATGAAAAAGAGTGACGGGTGTGACGTCAAATGTATGAAGTGTCCATTTCTATTCTCTCTTCCCCGTATTACATCACAGTGACTTTAGCTTTATCATCAATGCCAGCACTGGCCATTAGTTTAATAATCTAACCTGTGCACAGTGTCCTCTTGCAACATTCATATAAGGCAGGCTCAATCTGTGCTTTTATGTTGTTTTTGCCTAGTTTTGACACTACCATCCAAATATTGCAGCAGAAATTGAGAGTCATCAGAGCAGGCAATGTCTCTCCAATCTAATATTGTCCCATTCTGATGAGCCCGTGTGAATTCTAGCCTCGGTTTCCTGTTATTAGCTGCCTGAAGTGGCACCCGGAGAGGGCGTCTGCTCCTGCAGCCCATCTGCTTCAAAGTTCAAAGTGTTGTGCTTTCAGAAATGCTCTTCTGTGTACCTCTGTTGTAAAGAGTGGTTATTTGAGTTACTGTTGCCTTCCATTTAGCTTAAAGCAGTCTGGCCATGCTTCTCTGACCTCTGATATCAACAAGGCATTTTTACCCACTGCCATTCACTATATATTTTCTATTATTCTCTGAAAACCCCAGTAAATCAGCAGCTACTCCTTCTGGCACCAACAATTATGCCATGTTCAAAGTCACTTAAATCACCTTTCTTCCCCATTATGTTGCTCAGTTTGAACCTCAGCAGGCCATCTTGGCCATGCTTACATACCTAAATGCATTGACTTGCTGTCATGTGATTGGCTGTTCAGATATTTGTGTTATTAGGCAGTTGAAAAGCTACAATATCACATTAATTTCATAAGAGTTTGTTATGAGCTCTGGAGACTCTCGTTTGATTTGTAGAAGGATTTTCCCGTCTACAAATATCTACAAAACCCATCATCCTTTCTCTCCTCTACCTCCTGTCTTTGTACATCTGAACATGTCCCTCCACCTCTCTCTCTCTCTCTCTCTCCCTTTCCCTCATCCTCTCATCTGTCCAGCTACCATTTGCCAGGCTGGTCTGTTTTTTCTGCAGCTGACAGATATAGTATATGGAAATATAGTTTATAATAGAAAGAATCTTCAGGTGGATTGATTTGACCTCCTTGGAGCTGAGTAGCATCAGTGTTTTTCATGTGGTATGTATAAGAAATACTTTTGTCACATTATTACATTGCAGTGATGTGTCCTCAGACTATAAGGAGAATAAGGGCTATAAGAGGAATAGGTTAGACTACTCTTTTTTTTGAAGAATAACTGTGAATGCAACTAATGTTCGATGTTAACTGCGTTATTAAAGTGGTATTTCATTTAGCTGATGAGGCTTCAAATTCAGCCCAAAACGTAAACATATTTAATTTTTGTCAGGGTCCGTGGGTCTTGGAAAAATTTTATTCTTTTGTTTGTAAAGATCATTTGTTTTCTTTCTTTTTTTCCCTTTAATGTATGTTTTTCTGGTTGGTTTCTTTATATTTGCTAGTTTCATATTCTCACATAGTTCTGTCCATGGTTATAGTTTGGTTTATATTTAACTCCTTGAGTTCCTGTGCAATCCTGCTTCTTGTCATCCTGCATGGTTATGTGTTTGCTTCCTCTGGGTTCCCAGCATTTTCAGCCTTAGGCATGTTTCAGTTTTCCAGTATTTCTGTGAATGGCAGCATTAAAGCTGATATTTTCAGTTATACCTGTTTCCTGAGTCCTGCATTTGGGTCCACAAACCTGCCTGCCACACAGCCGACACCTGACTGCTTGCAATCTTGTAGCACTGAAAGAGAGCTGGAGAAGCTGGGTCTAGCTTCTTGATTAATTGGCACTTTTTCATCATTCATATACAGTTCACGATTTACCATCCAGCACTTTTAATTTAAAGTAACTTATCAAGTAGGAAAAATATGGTTAAACTTTGCCTCAGGGACATGACGCAGATTGAGAAACCTAAAAGTAAAATCTTAAGCATAAATGGCCATTTTCACTGTAATTGGAGGCTCTTTTTTGCATTTTTAGTGGGTATTTCTTAGTATATTCTGACTTTTATCAGGAATTCATAGACTTTTAAACCACCATGGGTTATGAACCTATCATATGAGATGTCTTAAACTTCAACTTTTCCATATTCCATGAAATGAGGCTGAACTGTTTTAAAATTACGAGGTAAAGATCAAAGCAAAAGTTGAACTCTGATACACCCGGCTCTCACTGCTTGAGGCAACAAAAGGAAAACCCTCCTATTCATTAATTTTCTGACATGTATCCATATCCGCAGCAAATTAGACAGCCACACTCATTCTTAATTATTAAGGCCCCTCATTTGTCGATCTGCTGATGACATCACAAGCTCTTTGTTGTTGCGGTGATATGTGATCCAGATAATATCGATGTGGAGACACTCGATACTCTTGTTTTGTGATTGAGGGTCTGGAGAATTGTTTGGTGGTGATCAGGGGGAGCAACAGGAATTGAATGTCCAGCCAGTTTCAAAGATGTCTGTGAGGTATGGTCAACTTTATGGTGTTGAATTGCATTTTGAGGGTGCACACAAGCCAGCAGTGGAGTTTTTGCTGGAGTTAAGTTCAGGTTTTAATGTTAACCCAACTCTCCTTATGTTACAACTCAAAGTGACAAGTTTGAAGTTCAGGATGGATCGGCAGTGAATCAGACACTTCATTACCATGATATCACTTCCGTCTTATCGCTTCTCTTTTTCATTGTTTTGTTCACCTTCACTAGAGCAGGGAAGGGAGTTTTCTCAGCCATGAAGCTCGGAAAGATCAAGAGCTCTAGAGATGACCACAAGAAAGGTAAAACACTCCACAAAACAAGACCTGTTTAAGTTACTGAAATTAGAAACTGAAGATTATTTTCTGATCTGAAATTACTTATTATTTATAATTATTTAACAATAGAAACCTTTGATAGTTGTCTATAGGCTTAAAATTGGTGTATGTAATTGAAAATAATGGAGATCTAAAGTACCCATCAAGTTTTATTTGGTAATTGTGTGGTTTTTTTGCTTTGTTTTTTTGTTTTTTTTTTCAATTATTCTTGCAGATGAGCCAGCCGTCCTGGACATGGAGGACTTGGACAAGAAAGCAATGCGTCTTGCTGGTATGCTGGAACCAGACACCATCTCTTTGGCCTCTGTCACGGCTGTCACCACAGACGTCTCCAATAAAAGGTCTTATACAGTAACGCATGCACACATCACAAGGCACAGCATTAAAATACAAGCAGACCTAGAGGCAGATTTCACAACCTGAAAGTTACAGTATCTCATAAAACTAGGTTATCTGTGTGGTGTAATGTAGTGTGGAATCCTGAAACAAGCAGAAACTGCTGGAATCTGTTCTTTCAAAGGCACACCCACAAACTACTAAAAGCTATTAAAAATGCTTGAATTTAAACTTTTATGAAGGCAGGCTTGTGTAAAATGAAGAAGTTCAGTCTGTATTTTCAGAGAGAGCTACCTAGATCTACCAAAACGTCTTCAGCTGATGTAATGTTAATCTGTTTTGCAGTCTGATTAGAAAAGAAAATATATGGAGGTCTGAAACCGCTAATGTACAGGCACTCAAAGGAAGAGTGGGGAACTCCAGGCCTCAAGGGCCGGTGTCCTAAAGGCTTTAAAAATACCACCCTGGGACAACACACATGAATCAAATGATTAGCTCATTGCCAGCCCTCTGGAGAACTTCAAGACATGTTGAGGAGGTAATTTAACCATTTAAATCAGCTGTGTTAGATCAAGGATACATCCAAAATCTGCAGGACACCAGCCTGGAGTTGCCCACCCCTGCTCTAGAGAAAACAGTGGTTGGAGACTGCAGTTCGACCAAAATTATTGCAGCCTTGCTGTCTTTGAAATTGTTGCTACAAAAATCGATCTACAGTCATCTGGCATTTTTAAGTTAACTTTAGTGCATCAAGATGGCAAAAAACAGGAATAAGACAGAGTTAGTCTGCTATCAGTTTGTGATTAAATGCTGCCATGTTAGCACTTGTATGAAATCTATTTGTGATAATACAGTGATTAACTGTGATAAATCAGTCAAAATCATGCACAGAAATTCCAATTACAAGCCACAACCTCAGTAATATGAAACAGAAATTCAGATATTTCTCCACAAAAAGTGATATTGGTACTGCAGGACAGTGACTGCAAAATGGCATAGCAACATGAACCTTACTTATGCAAGAATATAACCATGTTACAACCAGTTGGCTGCCAATTAGCAACTAGCTGAGTCAAGTCCCTTGTTGCAAAGAGATGAATCACAGACAAGTTGCACTTATCAGCACACAATGACGCAGAGTGTTGGCAATATGCCTGTATTTATAAATTAGGTGGCAATTGTTTGCAAACCCAACGCCATATGTCTGAAAGTGACTGCAACTGTTTGGAGACAGGTTGCCTCCCCCCTTGGCAACCACTTTGAAGGTGTCGCCAAACAGTTGAAGGTTTTGTTTTCCTCAACTTCTCGGTGGCCATTTAATTGCCACAACTGTATGCAATTGGTTGTGGAATGCAAAAAAATTGAATGCAACCACCAGTTTTTCCTTTTTTTTTCTTTTTTTCTTTTTTTGCTGTGACTGAGCAATTTGCAGTTAAATAAGCTAAAGTTAGTTGCACAGTTTTAAATATACATACACAAACATACTATGTTTAAGATTCAAACTTCAAATTAAATTTGTTTCATGCTTTTTCACTGTCAGTTTGTTGAAGAAAAATCATGATTATGTTGATTTCTTCAGGTCAAAGCCAGACATCAAAATGGAACCAAGCTCCGGACGACCAGTGGATTATCAGGTGAGTTTTTGCATGTAGATGTGGGGTTGAAAGCCGGTCTTTGTAACCAACTCTATCGACTTGATTTCCTGCATGTTTGGCCTCAAGTTTGTTTTGTTTTGTCTTTTTTTGATTAAGCGTACTTTCTTTTTCTCAGGCTGGTTAAACTCAAAGCAACTCCTACATTTGTGTGCATCAGATCTAAATGGGATCTGGGGGTCATTAAATTACCCGTATATAAAGAGGAAGGAGATGGCTTACCTAACAGCTACCTTAACTTTTCTTCAAAGTTTAAAAGACCTTGGAGCAACTGTGGGCTACAAGGCAGCTAATTAACACGTCCACTCTCATTTCCTCCTTTTAATATCAGGTCATCTCACTGCAGGCAGTTAGCTTTTAACACAAAAGGTGAAAGCAGACCAGCCTAGCTGGCTGCTTTCTATCTTTAAAAAGGCTGTAGACAAAATAACACGTTGTATCTCATTTGTTGCAAAATTTAAAAATTATAGTTTACTGTCATACACAGGGATTGTGCCCAGTTGCATGTGCACTATTAATATGTCCACTGATATTGTAGATGTACTGATATGTATATTTGTGTACTTTACCGTCACAACTGTTTGCCTACTGGGACTAACAGTTCTGAATTTATTCATCATTACATCAACAAACACCTAAACAGAACAGTGTAACTACGCCGCAATGATAGCACATGGCCCATTTTCATGACCTATTTAAATGTAAAAAACAGAATACTTTTGTACACCAGCTTGTAATCCTCGTGCAATCGTGAGCAGCAGACTGTCTCTCCCTTTTTTTTTTGTTTCGCTTGGTTTCTCTTCATCAAGCAAAGAATAATTAAACCAGAGGGATACTTGAATGTGGAAACCTTCAGCTGGGATCTAGTCTGTCCATAAGCAACTACATTACCTCAGCCTGGGGAAATGTTTGAGTAAAAACAGTCTAAACTACTGCGCTCTGACAAAAGCCCTCACAGCTTTTCATCATTAGTTTCTGAAAGATGGGTCTGGATTGTTTTTTTATGAATTGTTCTCATGATAATTACTGAATGGTTGAATTATTTATAATGAGACCGTTGCTGTTTTTTGACTCACTATTGGAAGAAGAGCAGCTTGTTTAAAGTTTCAGAGTCAGATCTGAAACAGATGCTGATCTGTCTCTCATCAGATCAGCATCACGGTGATCGAGGCCAGACAGCTAATAGGCCTTAACATGGACCCTGTGGTGTGTGTGGAGATTGGAGATGACAAGAAGTACACATCTATGAAGGAGTCCACCAACTGTCCATACTACAACGAGGTGAGACAATTTAAGCTTTTAAAATGTAATTTGCGAGCTTTGTCCTTAAAGTAACAAATCTGTGCATGTTTATCGTCTGACTTCTATCAGCTCTGTGGACCACTTTTGTGTCTTTCAGTTCACTGTTTTGGTTTTCAGGCAACAATTCTAATTTTCCAATGCAAAAAAAACAACAACAATTGGACATGTGGGTAAAGCTAGGCAAAGCTAGTGAGAACAGTTGTTTCTCAAAATGAAGTCATCAGTCAGCTACAACCCTGAACTTCATTAATATGCAAAGAACAGTAGAGGATAGGAGTAGTGTTCTCTTTGATAGTGTAATGCTGCAATGATTTATTGACTAGTGTACAATGCGCTAAATTGGAGAGTGTTAGTAGCAATTGTAAGGTGGTAAGGACTGTGCAGAGCTCAGCCTCTTAGTTGTGCCCTGCAGGGGGTGAAAGTGACAGTCTGTTATCGATTGTCTGAGGATCCCCTATCAAGAGACAAACTGTAAAGCAGAGTAATCATGATCAATAGTGCTTTAAGCGTTCTGTCTTTGTGTCAAAACCGCTTCAGTCCCAGCTTGTTCTGCATCTGTGCTATTTCAGGTAGCGGTACATTTCTCTGCAGTAAGATTCCTAAACTGGTTGTAGAGGGAAAATTAGTTGCATATCCATGAAACAAATCTCCTGTCAAACCACTCGTTGCTCTGTTAGATTGAGATCTGGTGAACGTGGAGGCCATTTGAGTGCAATGAACTCACTTTCTGTTAAAGAAGTTAGTTCAGGTGATTTGAGAGACAAGAGAATAAGAATGAAAAAGACTGCAAACTGTGGGTGATGTAAGCCTATGTTGCTTTGTTAGGAGAGGCAACCACTGTATTTTAATCCACCCATGCATGCCTGCAGCAGAGTCAGTGGGCTACAGTCCAGCACAGCATAATTGTCTTTACAGGGAGAGAATAACTGCCCCACATTAGTGTGGGCAAACAAACACTAACTGCAGATGTAAAATCACACATGCTAGAACAAGAAATAAATCTCACAAATAGTCATTGGTGTGTATGTGCTGATTACTAGTTAATTATCCATCCTGAAATAAAACAGCAGCAGAAAGCAGCAGATCTCCCACCAAAGTGGCCTGATAATGAGAGGATCTTCTCTCTTTCCCACACTTCCTTAGTTAATTTCTGAACTGATGTTTTCTTGACTTCAAAGTTATCTAGAAACAACTGCCTGACACATTTTACTCCAAGACCAAATCTGAAAGAATGATGTGTTTTCCTACAATCATTACTAGAAAAACGAGGGCATGAGTAACTGCGTGTTAATGAGAAAGCTTTTTTTTACTCTGCAGTATTTTGTCTTTGATTTCCACGTCCCTCCTCACGTCATGTTTGACAAGATCATCAAGCTTTCAGTAAGTAATTTATACCACAATGTGTCCACACTTGAGTGCGTCTGAATAGACTGTTACCATACCCTCTTTCTTACAGGTTATGGTATATGAGCTGTAAATATTACATTGTTAGTTCACAAGAGAAAATGTAATAGCCCCATTGGACAGAAGGTTGTATAAGCCAAGGCTGAAACTGTTCATGCTTTATAAGGTGTAAAATATGTAAAACTATGCACCCCCAGCCCCCTTAGTAGGAAATCACGTTAACAGACATCAGTTTCTTTATAGATTTTTATAGATTATTATAGTCTCATAGCTTATTGCCTTATATACAATATTATTTTTTACCTTTTTGTCTAATTAGGTTATTCATTCCAAGAACCTTTTACGGAGTGGGACCTTGGTAGGAACCTTCAAAATGGATGTTGGGACTGTTTACTTTCAGCCTGGTAAACTCCAAGCTTTCTGCTTTCATGCTTTTATTTGCATTCATGTAATACTTTTCATTTTCAAATATCAATTTACTAAATGATTTTTTAAAATTTTGATGTTGTAAAGTGAAAATGAGCTGATAAATGCTGTTAGTGACTAACTGATTGACATCTGTCTCAGAACACCAGTTCTACCATAAATGGGCCATCCTGTCTGATCCTGATGACATCACAGCAGGATCTAAAGGATATATAAAGTGTGACATCGCTGTGGTCGGAAAGGGTGACAACATCAAGACTCCACACAAAGCCAATGAGACTGACGAAGATGACATAGAGGGGTAATAAGCTGTCACTGATTAGGAATACTGTCGTCAAGCGAAATCTGCAGCATACATGAAAATCTGTTAAATATCTCAGATTTACTAACACATGTTCTGAATTAATCCCAAGTATTTCATATGCTTGTTACATGAAATTATCTCAAATGCAGACAGTAACTCCACAGGCTTGCCTCTGGATGTTGTTTTGCTATTACCCTGTCCTCTAGAAATCTCCTGCTGCCAGAGGGCATCCCAGCAGAGAGGCAATGGGCGAGGTTTTATGTAAAGATCTTCCGTGCAGAGGGACTTCCTAAAATGAACACAAGCATCATGGCTAATGTGAAAAAGGCCTTCATAGGAGAGAACCGAGATTTGGTGGACCCCTATGTTCAAGTGCACTTTGCTGGGCAGAAGGTAATATGAGGCTTGAAGGCTTGAAGTAGTTAGATTATTAATTACTGCATTTATATTTATGTAGGCGCTTTAGCCATAGTTTAGTTAAGCACCCAGGAAGAGTTTGTGGTTAATTTTAATATTTCTGGACCGTGTGGTACCCAGAGGTTTAGATTAGCTCCTTTTGTAGAAATATTGTTCATTGAATCTCTAGAATATAAAATAAATCAGATTTAAACCATGTTCATAGTAGTTTAAGCCGTAAGTAAGTACATTTTGGCCTAAAAGTGAGCATGAATGAGTTTATGTTCAAATCAATGTTTATTTTAAAAGGGACAATGCATATTATCATCATGTATCATCATATTATCATCATCACCAATTCATATTTGGTGTTTGCTTTTAATACTCTAAGTTGTTTTATTATGTATGTTGTATTCTTGTACAGCACTTTGGTCAACGCTCCTGTTGTAATTAAATGTGCTATATAAATAATTAAACTATTAAACTATGTAAATATGGGAGATTTAAACAGACAGGCTAATTTTCATCTTCAGTTCCTAGCAAGCTGATGGCAAAAAAAAAACATACGATGACAAAAACATAAAAAATTAAAATGATTTATAAAACCTCACAATGGCAAACATACAAGATATTATTATTATTATCTGCTCACTATCACTGGAACACATTGTTTTCTCTTTGTGAGATATGCAATTGTGAGATATGCAATTAATTATAAGGTGTGAGAAACTGAACTGTGATAATGTTTTAATTATAACATTTTTCCAATTTAGCTTTAGCATGAAAATAAAAACATTTTGCAGTTTCTGTAAAGCGATATTTTCAAAATATTTTTGAGCTACTGAAGCAGGTTGAAGCAGGTTGTCAGCATTTACTTGCAGTGGTTCAAAAAATTGCCTTGGACTACACATGTATGAGCTTCATATGCATAAATTTAAAACAAAATGTCAGGTAGCTGGCTCCAAAACTGCCAGCTACCTGACATTCTGCTTCAATTTTGAGACTTGGAAATTGCCAACTGGGTATTAGTTGCTGAATTCATTACTTCTGTAGTGCCAATCATTCACTGACAAAAAGGCTCCCTAAAACGATTTCAGTGTAAGTCACGGAGATTAAAACCCACAGCATTTATTCCAACTGCAAAGACACCTACTGTATTTTGTGCACTGTGGTTTATATTGAACATGCTCTTAAGAAATCTCAAGGAACCAATTGAAGAGAAAACCAAACTACTATATACTATATATAAATGCTATATGCCTCAGTAAGTCACATTTAATCAAATGAAAAAAATGTGAGCACTTTATTTAGCATTTAAACATTTAACAATATTTGCTGTTGCAGAATGACGACTCTATAATGTCTTCTTTAAAGTCTACATTATTAAACTGGCACAGCTATAACTATATAATGCTATAACTGACCAAAGGTGTTTTTTTTCTCTGTGATTCTGTTATAATTCCTTATAATTCCTTTTCCTTTCTCCAGGGAAAGACTTCAGTCCAGAAAAGCAGTTATGAACCAATATGGAATGAGCAGATCATCTTCACCGAGCTGTTCCCGCCTCTCTGCAAAAGGATAAAGGTCCAAATAAGGGACTCAGATAAAGTCAATGATGTTGCCATAGGAACCCATTTCATTGACCTACGCAAGATATCAAATGATGGTGATAAAGGTGGGTCAAAACGTAGTTTTTCTTACCAACATTGATTATCTGCCAAGTACTTTAATTATTCTGCCATGCTAGTGTCTATCTGTATTTTACTAAATGTACTAATTAGTGTGGTAGATTGTGTATTGAGCCATATGACGTGCCTGACCTTCTGCTAATGTCTGTAAGAAATGACTTGTCTGACATTCAAATTAACTTGCTGCACATGCTGAACCAAAGGGGAGGTGCAGTGGACTGGAGAGCATGTTGCAGCCCAAGACAGGAACTGCACAGAACTGCATAGCCAAGGCACAAGTGCAAAAACCACAAATGCTGCAACAGTAAAGCAAAACAAAAAAAACATCCTGTGAATGCAAAAATCCAGCAAACAGATCTAAACTGAATTTGTTTTTGTTTTTTTCCCCCAGATTTAATTAAAAAGACAATACTTAATTGATAATAAAGTTAGGGCTTCCGCACCATCATTCTGTTTGAGCCCATAATAAAAGATATTTTTCCTTTACTTTGTTCAGGTTTCTTGCCTACCATGGGTCCAGCCTGGGTCAATATGTATGGTTCCACTCGTCAGTACACTTTAATGGATGAGCATCAGGACCTGAACGACGGACTCGGAGAAGGGGTGTCCTTCAGAGCCCGTCTCCTGCTTTCTGTAGCTGTGGAGATCCTGGACACCACTTCACCTGAGATCTTCAGCTCCACTGAGGTTCACGTGGAGTCTGTTTCCAACATCTCAGAGGTGAGATAGACCCGAGATGGTGGTGCTGTGTAGCTTTATGGTGTATTTATGAAGCCACGCGTAACTGCTCAGCAGAGGAAACAAAGGCACTAGATTTGTTGCTTTAAGCTGTGTTGTTCATATTTCCCTCTGCTGAGAAAATCGTTTAACCCAACTTCAAACATCGTGAGAAAATGTTCTGGTTTGGGGTTCTGAACAGGATGCTAATAACTAACACTGAAGTTTAATGGCATAAGAATATCAACTTGAGTCTTCCAGGACTACATTAGCGAGATAAATTGGACTGGACTGGCCTTGCAGAGCTACCTAAAAAGCATAGTGATGAACAGCTGCAAATAATACTGTTTTTTTAAGAGTAATGATTAATATTTTTTTATATTTTTTAATAAGAACCACATGAATGGATAACAAGCAAAGGGCAGAAAATTGGAACATAAAATCAAAGTGCCTCAGCAAGTCAGAAGGGAGACATGCAGTTTTTATGTCTGTTGTAAATTGCAGCTGATTATCTGAATAGGATGCACTTTGCTCTAGTAAAATGTTTACTGTCTTTTTTACCCCCATCAGAGTGCTACAGGAAAAATAGAAGAGTTCTTCGTCTTTGGTTCCTTCCTGGAGGCCACCATGATCGACAGGAAGACTGGCGACAAACCGATCAGTTTTGAAATCACAATAGGTAAAAAATAAATTGAAAAATGTACTGATTTGTTGTGTTAATATTGACCTGAAAAGTCAATAGCTGCTGTAACTACCTGGATAAATCATTTAACAGGTAACTATGGTAACCAGATAGATGGCGTGAGCAAACCGTCATCAAAGAAGAAAAAGAAAGACGGAGAAAATGAAGAAGAGGAAAGTGAGCTGATCCAGAACTCCAGTGAGGATGAGGCGGATGAGGATGGAGACCTCGTATCAGTGTCCTCAACTCCTCCCATGAAGCCTGTCATCACTGACAGGTTAGGGGTGAAAGGTCACAGATCAGAAAACAATTTAATTATTTTGCTGTTATTAGATTTGTTTCAGTTAGCCAAAAAAATGTATGCCTTGCTCAGTAGCAAACTGTTATAGACTGTATCCTTTTTAGTAATATAATGAAATGTAACCAACAAGTATTGCCTGTAATAATTACAAGTTAGTTAACAGTCCTGTTCAATCATTACAGGAACTACTTCCATCTTCCCTACTTTGAAAAGAAGCCATGTATCTACATCAAGAGCTGGTGGCAGGACCAGAGAAGACGACTTTACAATTCCAATATGATGGATAAAATTGCAGACAAACTGGTTAGTGTACATCTTTATGGCACAAAATCATTCTAATAATCTGTAGCAGCCAAGCTAAACACTATTATGATGTTTAGTGGTGGTTAGCACCTTCGCTTCACACCAAGAAGATCCCGGGTTTGAATCCAGTCTGGAACCTTTCTGTGTGGAGTTTGTATGTTCTCCCTGTGTCTGTGTGATCTTCTCTTCCTCCCAAAGACAGTCCAAAGAGGCCAAAGACATCCACGGGGTCGTGTTAATTAGTGTTTCTAAACTTCTGTAGGTGTGAATGTGAGGGTAAATGATTGTCTGTCTGTCTTAGGGTTAGACTCCCCTGCGACCCTTATTTGTAGATAGAACATAAGATAGAACAAAACTATCTCCAAATTTGCAAAATTTCCAAAAAATGCTCTCTTTGTCTGCAATTTTCACACTTTGTGAAGCCGTTGATTGAGTCAGATGTGACCCTAGGGTGACCAGTTGTGGTCCGCTGGTTTAAGATATTATTTGTTATAGATGTATAAGTAATAACAATTTGACTTGTCCTAAGTTTTGGAACTGTTTGTGTTTGGACAGGAAGAGGGTTTGAATGATGTTCAGGAGATTATTAAGACTGAGAAGGCATTTCCAGAGCGTAGACTCAGGGGAGTGCTGGAGGAGCTCAGCGTCGGCTGCAGGTGAGCTGCATAATAATGATCATTTCTCATGGTTGCATATCAAAGCTACATACAATTAGCATTCAAACAGCAAGAAAGACAAAAAGCTACCTCTGCTACCTTCATGATCACTCAGCTTTAAAGTAAATAGTTATTAAACATGTCATGGTAAAAGGAACCAGCATTGGTTTTTTTCTTTATGTTCTTTCAGTAGATTTCGAAACTATTTGAATTAATCAGAGTTCGTACGGGTGCTTGAAATCCTTGAAAATGCTTGAATTTTAATATTGTATTTTCAAGGTTTGAGAAGTGCTTGAATTTCAGATGTGCTGCTTAAAAGTGATTGAAAGCGTAATTGTATTTCATTCACCACAAATAACTATCTGATTGAATAGTTTTCGTATCAGAGAAATAAAACGAGTCGCAAAATGTAAAAGCTAAATTTCTCTGCCTTGTGCCTCTGCCTGTTTCAATGTGTGACCCCGCCCTTCCCCCTAACAGTCAGGGATGAGTGCGCTAACATACCTGAGGTTGCTGTTTTAATGAGTGTTTGATGGAAAATGACAATAGCGGAGTTTGCGCTCTCCAGACGCATAATAGGTGAGTCCTAGCAAATAATTTTCCAGTCCAAACTATTTTTTGGAGTTGCATAAATAATTTGTGCGCCTTCTTATTTGATGCAGAACACCTGATTGTTCTGTAAATAGTTTTAAATGGTTATATAAAAAACCTCTGAGCCTTGGCTGCATTTTTAGGTAAATAGTACCTTATAACTTTGTTGTTTGCAAAACTCGTGGATATTTTTTAAAAATGTACAATTTCTATTTGCATTTCAAGTTATGAAAATGATTCATTAAACATGTTTGTGGTTTTTACAGTCAAAAATATAACTTTTTTCTACTCGTATTTTAAATTTTGTCTGATTAGATAAATTGCGCTTATACAGTTTGTCAAAATGAGAAAATAACTTGTTTCTGTGCTACCAAAGTTCCCCGGCTTTCATTCAAAATGTGTTTATCATCAGCACCTACACATAAACTACTTAAACGTTATAAATGGCTTCAAGCTCACACTGAGACCTGTGGGACACTATCAGCCACTGAGACAGTAGACACATTTATGTGTATATGAATATTTCATACTTTAAGGCTGCCTGTTTATTTAAGGGAGATGAACAAAATACATTAGAATTGTACATAATAATATTATAGATGACAGATTGAATAAATAGATTTTAAGTAGATGCTTCTGCATTTTTAAAGTCTTATATGTTGAATTGAACTATGTGATCTTTTCAAAGTCAGTGCTGTTCTCCATGCCTGTCTGACTGTACATGATGTTATTAGCACAAACACTTTAAAGCTGATCATTTAGGACTTCAACAATAATACAGACAGCAATGTAGTTAAACATCTTACAGTTAGTTTTATTGGGAATTAACTTAAAAAACAAATAATCAAACAGATGTCTCTCCTATTTTTTGTGTCATACAGGAAAGAAGCATCAATATCTGATGAGAAGACATTTCTTTTTTGTTTTGTTTTTTCAACAGGAAATGAATATCTTTAAAAAGTTGACTTGTTCACATTTCACATCTTAATTTTTAAGTGAAATGTATGCACATAAGGTGACCATTTGCAGTATTTTTGTGTGGTGCGTTTTTCTATGTCTTAACAAAAGGAGAACAAAGGTGTTGAAGTTCACCTATGATTTGTTTTAATTTTCACATGATCTTACTGAGGTGATGTGAATTGAAACATGCATTCTTTTTTGGGGGGCGGGGTAGTAAATGTGCTGGAAAAGCTTAAAAAGGGACCTTGAAAGTGCTTAAAAGGTGTTTCAATTTTACCGTGAAAAAGGCGTATGGACCCTGATTAATAAAACATTAATAGTTTAATAGCTCACCACTTGCACATATAACGACTGTAGAATCACAGAATACTGCAGAATATAATTTTATATACAGTGTTAAGCCTGTAAAGTGTGTGTGTGTGTGTTTTTTCTTTTGTTTCCAGTCGGTTTGTGTGTCTGGCTAACAAGGATGTGAACCAAGCAGGCAGAACCAAACTCGATCGAGAGAGACTCAAGTCCTGCATGAGAGAAATGGTATGATCCATGTTTCTGTGATGCCACGAATGATAGAGGGGAAGTTGAAGTTGTAGCTAATTAATTGCTAATCTCTTTGTAAACATTATGGACTTGATATTAAGGCCAAACAAGTAAATTAATTTCTGAAATACATTATCACTGCCTCATGATAATTGAGTGCAACACATCTTTGTGCATTTGCAACATTACCAACACCATCACAGTCTCTCTGGTTCAGTGTTCGTATTTGGCTGTGACGCATCTTTTAATTAGTTTCAAGAGGAAATGCAACAAGAATGCAAAGTGTTCAGAAAGAAAACAGAGCCGTAAACAGTGGTTTAGAGGTGGAAGGAGAGGAGAGGGTTGTAGCGCAAATAGTTTCTCATATCCGATGCTTCTGAACACTGTGCACTTATATATATATTTACTTTTATTTATCATATTTTAAAAATACCAAAGATGAATACAAACTTAAATTGTTTGTGGAAAAAAAACTGATGGCAATTCATACACTTTATGTTCAACTCAGTTCAGTTTTATTTGTATAGTGCCATTTTACAACAATATTCCCCACAAGGTGCTTTATAGTGTGAAGTAGAGATACTACAGTTTAAAAAAAACCAACAACAATTAGACTACGGCTTTTAGCAAGAAATGGCGATGGTGGGAAGGAAGAACTCTGTTTTGACAGGAAGAGACCTCCATGAGGGGCAGCCATGTGCTGCAACTTGCTTGGGAGTGAAGGGGAAAGAAAAGAGAATAGATAAATGAGCGCATACAGAGACCATGAATAGCAAAAATGATAAAACAAACTATGGGGGAGAGAAGAAAAAAGTTGCAATCGTGACATTTAAATGCATCAGGTGTGAAAAGAGGGGAGTGGAGAAGTGCTCATGGGATGTCCCCCACTAGCCTGAACTTAAAGCAGCATAATAAGCATCACCTGATCCACCCTAAACTATAGTTAAACTATAGCCCAAACTGGTAGCTGCTTCCACATATGTATGTCTCTAAGGTGCTGTAACTCTTTACTGTACTGCACCAATAAAGCACCGTATGCCTCATTACCACTAATTATCTCTCCTCCTGCAGGACAGCATGGGCCAACAGGCTAAGCAGATTCGGACTCAGGTGAAGAAAAACACAGTCAGAGACAAACTCAAGCTGGTGCAGAACTTCCTGCAGAAGCTTCGCTTCCTTGCTGATGAGGTAGAGATGCAATCCCTCGTTGTGTGACCCTTGGACATTTAAAGTGTTAAGACATCATCGGGTATGGAACTAGAAATAATGAGAATGGTCCTCTGTCTTCACTGTCCAGCCTCAGCACAGCATCCCAGATGTTTTCATTTGGATGATGAACAACAACAAGCGCATTGCTTATGCACGAATACCTTCCAAAGACATCCTGTACTCCATAGTGGATGAGGAAACTGGCAAAGACTGTGGAAAAGTCAAAGCTGTATTCCTTAAGGTGCAGTAATCTCTAAGCTATACAAGTGACTAAGAAAACCAGCATGTTTTCATTTTTCGTAGTTACATTTTTTTGATTACTTGGTTTCTTGTTTCTCTTATCTGTCTCCGCAGCTTCCTGGTAAGAAGGGTTTTGGTCCTGCAGGCTGGACAGTTCAGGCTAAGCTGGAGTTATATCTATGGCTGGGCCTCAACAAGCAGAGGAAAGATTTTCTCTGTGGATTGCCAAATGGTTTTGAAGAGATTAAAGCCACTAAAACTGGCCCTGGTCTTCACTCGATGCCCCCCGTCGGCCTCGTCTATGACAGTAAGCACTATACACACAAAACATGACAAACTCTGGAACTTTTACACATCTGAGAAGCAGATATGGACTCATCATTTTTGTTAGTGCCAAATAATTAGGCAGGAAATACTCCCATCATAGAAAGTACCTGTAACTCTAACATGGATATTTTATCTTTTGAATACTTTGTCTTTTGTATTATAGTAAAGTCCTCTTTTTTTAAATTTTCACTCCCCATAATTTGCTTAATTTCATATCGCCTGATTTGCCGTTAACGTTTAACTCTAAAATCAATTCTAGGCAAAACGCACACAAACAAAAAAGTCAGTCAGAAACAGACATTGATTTCAATTGATCGCCTTTACTTTGTGGCTCAATTTTCTAACCTCGGTCTAACATTGCTCACAAAGGGGATTGCATGTCAGTTAATGTGATGTGATATTTGTCTTTGTGTGCATCCAATAGTGAAGCAGGTGTTCCAGCTGAGAGCACACATGTACCAGGCTCGCAGTCTGTTTGCTGCTGATAGCAGTGGCCTTTCAGACCCCTTTGCGCGGGTCTTCTTTTCCACACACAGCCAGGTTACTGAGGTAAAATGAGTGCCCGCACATGCAGAGACTGTGTTTGTGTTTATGCTGATTATGCATAACTAAACTTAGTATTTGTGTGTGTGTGTGTGTGCTGCAGGTTCTGAGTGAGACTCTTTGCCCTACTTGGGATCAGCTGCTGGTGTTTGATGATGTGGAGCTGTTTGGTGAGGCCAGTGAGCTGAGAGACGATCCTCCAATCATTGTGGTTGAAATCTACGATCAGGACACTGTGGTAGGATACTATTCTGCAAGAATGAGAGAATGGAAGGATGCTACATACTCAAACTGCATGCTAAAATGTTTTAAATGAGTTAGTGTGTGCTAATAAAGCTCTAAATGTGCTTTGCTTCTCCATCCCTTATGTTCTTAATGTCTGTCCACCCTTGTCTCACTCCACTCTGTCCTTCAACTAAACTCTGACCTCAATTATGTTGTGCTGGCTAAATAGAGTGACAGAGCATTGCTACTGTAATGTGTCAATGTATTCTAATTTTTCTAAAATAACTTTCTTAAAATTTGATCTCTTTTTTCTCCAACTAGATTTAAAAAATCTTTGCAAAATGTGCATTTCTACTTCAGTGGCATCCTAAGACCTAGACCTCTCTTATTTGTTCAGATTGTACTGTAATAATCATTTGAGACACATATTTGTTTAATAAGAAGATTGAGATTTTTACTTTGAACCTTGAGCCATTTGGTGCCACACAGACTGCACTTCCCACACCCATGTCTAACCCTGTATCCCCTTATTGCCTTGGCCGTCTGCTGTTACACATTGTGGTGTACAGGGTAAGGCAGAATTCATAGGTCGGACCTTTGCAAAGCCCACCATCAAGATGTGTGATGAGCATTATGCACCCCCGAGGTTCCCGCCACAGCTGGAGTACTTCCAGATTTACAGGGGGAACTGCACTGCCGGGGAGCTTCTGGCCGCTTTTGAGCTGCTGCAGGTAACACATGGAACAATGTCTGAATACACTCGTAAATATCTCTCTCCGTGTAAAAAATTATGTCTCACTCTTTAATTCTTTTCCTACTTTTCCTTTCTTAAATAGGCCTGTAAACTCTCTACATTATCACTATTTCTTGTATTTGACACTGACAAACCTTTTCTATTTACCCGTCTCTCCTCCCAATACAACCAATCCCATTTTCTCCTTTTATGTTTCTTTTCCAACTTATCCCTCCACTTCCCCTTTGAATCACCCTTCTTTTTCTTTAAAATATCGATTTTCTATGTCTTTCTTCTCCTGCTGCCTACAGATACCCTTTGATGCAGAGGAGATCAGGCGAGCTCTGATTGCTGTCCATAATTTTGCTGTTCCTCAGATAAAGGTTTTCTTTTCCTTCTCTCTTTTCAGCCAGATTTATCTTACTGTCTGGCAACAGTGTTTTCAATGTGGACAATAGATTGTGTTTTTTTCTCTGCCAACAAGACATTAATAATTCCCTTTTTTAAACTTTCTTCTTAAAGTTGTTCTTTAAAGAGAAAAACTGCGTTAACTGAAGAACTTTGAGGGCTGTGGGTCGTAAAGCTGATAAAGTGCTCTCAGAAGGCTTCCAACTTGGTTTAGTTCCCTTCTCTCCCCCTAATTAGATTGGTCAAGGAGGCAGGGCTGACCTCCCCCCCCTTGAGGGGCCGACAGATTCAGAGCGTGGACCCATCCTCCCTGTGCCGCTGGGCATCCGGCCAGTACTGAGTCGCTACCGCATAGAGGTGAATTTGAACTACTACTCTGGCTGTGTGTTCTGAGCTTTTTAAACCCCCCTTCCTTATCACATCCCAGTTGTTCTCTGGCTCAGGTTTTGTTCTGGGGATTAAGGGACCTGAAGAGAATCAACTTAGCTCAGGTGGATAGGCCCCGTGTGGACATAGAGTGTGCAGGCAGAGGCATTCAATCTGCGCTCATCCAGAACTACAAGAAGAATCCCAATTTCAGCACCCTGGTCAAATGGTTTGAAGTGGTAAGTGCATCGATCATTTGATATTTAGACCCATTGAAAATGGTTGCTTAGATGTTAAATCGACATCCTTGAAGAAAACATTACTCTTGACTAGAATTTTTTTTCTCGATTTTGATCATAGGACCTTCCAGAAAATGAGCTTCTCCATCCCCCTCTCAATATTCGGGTGGTGGACTGCCGAGCATTTGGCCGCTACATCCTGGTTGGGTCACATGCTGTGAGCAGCCTGAGACGTTTCATTTACAGCGCTCCAGACAAGACTTCCAACAACTGGGCGACCGCAGGTGCTGACCATCATGTGATGAATTAGTTAATAAGGGCTCTATTAGCTGTAACATGAGTGTGTGAGCCACCAGCTCTTTTTGTCAACACTGTGCAACACTGAGTACTAAATAACAGTGTAATATCTGCAGTAGCAGTTGGTAATAAAGGTTTTAAGTGAAACACATGAAATGCAGTCTTTCAGAAATGTCTTTTCTCCGTTTTTTGTTTCCTTTTTTCTAAAAAAAAAGACTTGAAGAATGTGATCAAACATTTGAGATAATGTTTGTAAATCCTCTTAATATAGTCTGTTCTGTAATAACTTTACTGATTTCCTCACTTGCTTTCTGCTCTGACCACCTTTTTCCTGTCACATCCTCCCTTTATCCCTTCTCTCCTCGCTCCTCTCTCGCATGTCCTTTCCTTCCACCCTCTGCTGCCTTTAACTTTCGCCTGCACACCAGCTAAGCTAATGAATGGCTACATGGTCCTGACCAATGGCGGACCCCAGCCCCGCTCCTCACCCAGCCTTTCCCCCCGCTCCTTCTCTCGCCCCGCAGGTGACATCGTTGTCAACATGGATGGAGATCCTCCAGTCCGAAAGATGGACACCGTCGTCAAGTTAGACGCAGTAAGCTTTTCATTAAGCTTGTGCACAGTGGATTTCTATAAACTGTATGTTTATATGGTGTATTTGTAGCTGGTGGTAGTAGAAGTCCTGCTTTATGTTCAGTCCTCTTTACCTGCCTCTGTACATGTGCCAGTCATACCTGCGCCATCCGCCGTGTGTATTAATCCTTGTGTTGTTTTATGTGACGCCCCCTACTGTAGACGTCTGATGCTGTTGTAAAAGTTGACATGGTGAGTAGTCCTCTTGCAGAAACTGAGCAATAAAAATACGTGCCACAGTCCGCTGGTGTGTCATTATAAATAAGAAGTCAATCTACTGAGGGTCAGTTTATGTCTGCCCTTCTTTTAAGATTGTGGAAGAAAGTGACAAAGACAAAAAGAAGAAAAAGAAGAAAAAGAAGGGAGGAATGGAGGAAGAGGATGAGCCAGATGAGAGTGTTCTGGACTGGTGGTCTAAATATTTTGCTTCCATAGAGACACTAAAGGAGGTTTGTCCCTTTGAATACAGTCAATTCTGTTTGCTTCTACATGTGTCCTACGGGACTTTTTTTCACAAGCACAATCCTATTAGACTGACAAATACTTCTCGGTTGGTTTTTCAGATCCTCAGAGCCCAGGAGGCAGCTCAGGCAGAGGCCGAGGAGAGAGAGGACATCGAGATAGCAGCTGAAACGGCAGGTATTGAACTCTATCAAATCAGCAATGCTGCCTGCCAGCATGCAGCTGTGGCTGAAGTCGAAGAGTCTGAATGCTAGGAAAAGGTGCTTTGATGCTTTCCTTTTTTATCTCCCTTGGAATAGGGCCATGCTAAATGAAACAGAAGAAGATGTCGTCATGTAGTTTATCTCACAGAATTCAAATTTCAGTCCACTTTTGTAACTGGTAGCGTCACTTTATCTTTTTTTAATTTCATTTACACTTTTGGTAATGAAGTGTTAATTTTCACAGGGTTGTCAACATTTACATCACCACAATGTCGCTAATATTGAATGTTAGGCTGTGGTTTTGCAAACATGGACCTACTATATCCCTGACTGTTTTCGGTTCCTTGAACTATTATGTAGTAGCATGAGAGGCATCATATGTGTTTGTTGCTCTTCCTCTCTTTCGTCCCATGAATCCATCATTCATTTGTGCAGAGCTGAACATCATAATCATTTTTCACATTAGCATGACCTCCCAGCTATGCAGTACAGATGAAAGCTGGAGGAGAAAGGTCTGCTTTATTAATCATCAGAAATAAAATTATTAAATACTTTTTATTGCATAAAATGATTTACTGAAACTGCAATAAAAATCAGGCGCTAGGCGAGTCGTATGAAGAAAGATCATTTTTAAGTTCACAGTTACAATTTTACTATTCTTTGTACAAGTAAAATGCAGTTCTTGTTGTAATCTGTTCTCAAAATAAAGTTTGTCAATATGTGACTGTCACTCTTCTCGATCAACATTCTTTTTTCAGAGAATGTCAAAGGATAATAAATAAAATCTCCACAAACTGGGAAATTTAGTCCCCTGATAAAGACCTATCAGCTTTCATGTTATATAATGTGTAGTGGTGCATGCAACCCGGCCACCTATGTCTTCATGTCTTCATCCCGTATGTCTGTCTTCACCTCCATTCATGGTTTCAATCAGATGTCAAACCCGATGAACTTCTTCTGAAAGGCTCCAAGACGAAGGAAAGGGGCAAAGAGAAGAAGAACTCTAAGGACAAGAGGAAGGGTCAGGCTGCAGATGGCTCCGAGAGGCGACCAGTGAAAGCAAAAGTGGATGAGCTAGTGGTGAATATGCCATTAACAGTCATACAAAAGCTAGCCAGCACACGTTAATGTCCCTGCACACTTAAAGTTTTTGTGTTTGCCGGTTTATTTCAGGTGTACAACAAGGAGCTTGAGAGTGAATATGGCAACTTTGAAGACTGGCTTCACACGTTCAACCTGTACAGAGGAAAGGCTGGGGAAGACGACGAACACGCTCTGGATGATGACAGGATTGTTGGTAGATTCAAGGTGGGAAAACACTGTCTAAGAACTGTTACTTGTCAGACTACACTAACAGAAAATACAACATATAAATATCATTTTTTTTCATCAATCAGGGATCCTTGTGTATATATAAGTTACCTGTATCTGAAGAGATCACAAGAGAAGCAGGATTTGATCCCAACATGGGGATGTTCCAGAGCATCCCGCACAACGATCCTGTCAACGTCCTCGTTCGTGTCTATGTGGTCAGGGTAGGTGGCCTTCTTTATGTCTAAATCTGTGCCACAGTCATAAAAACTAAGTGTATGAAAATAAAATGAATACTTTTTCTCTCTTCTCTTTGTTTTCCAGGCTACAGACCTCCATCCTGCTGATATAAATGGGAAAGCTGACCCATACGTTGTCATTAAACTGGGCAAATCAGAGGTCAAGGACAAAGAGAACTATATCTCCAAACAGCTCAATCCAGTATTTGGAAAGTAAGTCGAGAGAAATTTTGAATCACTTTGTCGTTGAATGATGGAGGTGTAATAACAAAAAAAAAAAAGTTGTTGCTGCTCATCAAATTCTTGATGAGCATATATTTTTCAAAAAGTTTTACTTGTACTTTTTTAACTAAACAATGGCTGTAAATTATTTTCATGTCCTTGTATTGTGCATTTATTTCCATTCCATTGTTTAGACAGTGACCCAACTTTATGTGTCAGGATCTATTGCACCTTTTGAACTATTCACATTACCCTCCACTTCCTGTCCTCAGATCATTTGACATCGAGGCCACCTTTCCCATGGAGTCGATGCTGACGGTGTCTGTGTATGACTGGGATCTGGTCGGCACAGATGACCTGATTGGTGAGACAAAGATTGACTTGGAGAACCGTTTCTACAGTAAATTCAGAGTCACCTGTGGCATTTCCTCCAGCTACTCTGTGTGAGTGTAAATCTATTTTATCCTGCTTGAGTTGTTGTTTAAGTTGTATTGCCACAATATGAAACTTAACATTTGTTTTAAGTACTTTTTTGAAATGTGGAATTCTTAGCTTAATAATAGTATAAACAAACAACTGAATTATTAAAAGTTTCCTTGGTTTGACTGCATTTGGTTTGCAGTTAAGTAGCACTTATAATATGGCTCAGTAAGAACATGATTATAGAGGGGTAACAACAGTCACTGCCTCTTTGTTGGTTAATGGTTAATATCGAGCTATTGCTTGATATTTTTAACTGGGTAATATTAGACTGTAAATAAAATTATGGGGTAATAATGTTGAAACAAATGAAAAAATTCAGTTATATAATATAAAATTATGGTGAAAAAATAGGATAACCTTGTAAAGTAATATAGGTTGATGTTTTCATATATTAGGACACCATTTCAAAATTATAATGGTGAAATTAGTTCTGTTGTATGTCCTAAAATTCTCCAAGGTAACATAATTATAAAATTTGATGCTGTCGCTTGTTACCTGGAAAACCTTTGCTGTAGTTTAATAACCATGAATCTGGTCTCCAAAATATAATACTACCTGTTTCTATGTAATTTCATAGTAAGAATAAAGTCAACCAAAATGCCCAGAGGTATAATAATTATCTGGGGAAAAAAAGTTTCTGTGTAATAACCATGAATCAGCCATCTTTTCTAAGCAATTTCTCTATATTGCAGCCAATAATATTTCCTACAAAAACCAAGGACCAGGAAAATACATATGCAAAACCTTTCAATGACTTACATGCTCTCTCTGTGGTATTTCTTGATGTTAGCCATGGATATAATTCTTGGCGGGACCCTATGAAGCCCAGCCAGATCCTGGCTAAACTCTGTAAGGATGGCAAGATCGATGGACCTCATTATGGGCCAGGAGGCAAAGTCAAGGTGGCTAATCGAATCTTTACAGCACCGACAGAGATTGAGGATGAAAACGGTATTGTTATATTTTTCCTCGTGATCCTGATTAATCTTCTTTTGTCATTTTTCTATATCTCATTTATATTCCTTACATATCCATTTACACTAAGTTGGTTTTACAGAGATTTTCACATTTTCAGATTTGTTTACATTAAGATTAAGGTGAGGTGAAATACGATTTATTCCGACTTAAGCTTTTCTTGCTTTCCTCGTTGCTTACTATTATTCTATTAGGTCTAAAGAAGCAGACTGAGGAGCATTTGGCCCTCACGGTGCTGAATCACTGGGAGGAAATCCCAAGAGTTGGCTGCAAGCTCGTCCCTGAGCATGTGGAGACCCGACCCTTGCTGAACCCAGACAAACCCGGTATTGAACAGGTAGGAAAGGACTGCGTTGCTAAGACACCCAAAATGTATCTGATTGGAAATTAGAGCAGATTCTTTTTTATTTCCTCAAAGGGCCGCATTGAGATGTGGGTGGACATGTTCCCTATGGATATGCCTGCTCCTGGACCTGCAATTGACATTTCTCCAAGAAAACCAAAGAGGTACATCCTGACTGGAGCAATAAGATGACTGTCACTTTGAAAATATTCTATGTTAATACAAAGCTATAAACTGAATATAAATATTTATTCATTGCTCTTCTCAACAGAAAGCTTTTTTTTTTTCAAGAACAAAATGTAGTTTTATCCCCTGGTTAAATTATGGTTTGACTAGTTAGCTCTAAAAATGTCAAATATAAGTCCAACTATGTGTGTTCCTTCCTCCCCCTCGCTTACCAGATATGAGCTCAGGGTGATTATTTGGAATACAGACGAAGTAATACTGGAGGACGATGATTACTTCACTGGGGAAAAGTCCAGTGACATATTTGTCAGGGGGTAGGTACAGCGGGATGGGGCAGCCAACCCTCATCCCGTGGGTGTGAGCTGTGTGTGATTTGTTTTGCAGTTAACCATTACCTTTTTTTTGTTTTGTTTTGTTTCCATTTTTCTGTGTGCGTGTTCGTGGCGTGTCTCCTGTCTGTCGTCCTCTCTCTCTTTCTCTGGTCAATACTCTGCTGATGTCTAGCTTTGAGCTTCGTGTTATAATTTGGAACACTGATGACGTAATTCTAGAGGACGATGCATTCATGACAGGAGAGAAGATGTCTGACATCTATGTCAGGGGGTAAACACACGAATCCATTGCATGGCTCGTAACAACAAAATACCCTGATTTACTCCTTCTGAAGCCCTTGAATCCTTTTTTTTTATGACCCTCCTGTTTCTCTAACTCTGCATAGCACGCAACCTCGCTTGTCTCAAACACCCCTGTCAGCACGAAAATAAATGCATATGGAAAAACTTGCACAGAAAGGACCAAACCACATGAACAACACGTAACAGCATATAATACAAACAAATTAATGTGCCAATGCACTCACCCCCAGCCAATCCCAACAGACCCCTCCCTGAACTTGCTTCAATCAGATGTTTCTTACTGTTGAAAGGGGGTTTTCCTCTCCACTGTCACCAAAGCACTTCCTAATGGGGGGGTTATGTGATTGTTGGGGTTTTCTCTGTTTTTTCTGTATTATTGTAGGATCTTTACCTTACAAAGGCACATTGAGGCAAATGTTGTTGTGATTTGGTGCTATATAAAGAAGATAAAATTGAATTGAATTGAACCAGTATAACCACTACTTTTAGACAATTTCGACCGACTGCAAAGATATGTCATGTGTTGACATAAAAAACTGTGGTACAAAATTCAAAATGCTTTAATCATGAATAACTAGGACTAACTTATGTTGTTCATGAACCTTCAGTTAAGGTAACACTGAGCAACAATTCCTATAATGCCAACTCACAAGACTCACATCCTATTGACAAGTCAAGGCTTGCTAATAAAGTTGTTTTACCCTACGTACAGTTATTGGTCTCTGGTGAAATAACTTTTTTTCAAAATGCTAAAGAATTGATATTAGTTTCCAGGTAAAAATAATAATAATAATAATAATAACAGTATAGTTTTGTTCAATTTTTTATTTAATGCAACCAACGCATATGGCAAATAAGACTGGCCTTTTTTTTTTTGCTGTTGTTGTCTTTTTGCTTTTGTTTTTTTACAACGAGGCATTTGAGGTTTTCTCTGTGTGGTTTGGTCCTGCAGTAAATTACAAATATTAATTTAAAAGATATTTACGGTCATGGAAAAAAAACTCCAGCATGGAAGTGTACTGCACAGACACAAGTATACAGGTGTTCCTGATAAACTGCTTGGTGACTGTCTGCATGCTTGTACGATCGAACTCTTGTCTTTAAAAGTGACATTGTCTTTTGCAGCCTAGATTAGATTTTTTTTTCATTTCATTTATGTTATTATGTTTTAGTGACTCCTCTTTCTTTACACTTTATGTGTCCCCTCAGGACTGTAGCAAACAGGGTGTCATTCTTAAACAACCCTAACAGTAAAGGATTAGGTTAACCTTCAGTTTGCACTCTAGATTTCAGTAGCAAACGTTTCAGGACAGACTGGAGAACTGTGGTTGTTTCAGATGGATCCAGTGTTGTGATACAGTAATAATGAATCACTTTTTGGGTCACGTGAATTTGGCGTGTTTTCTTCCCTTTGTAACCACTTTAAAATTTGCCCTCTCCCTGGAGCCTTTATCTCAGTCTAATTTATGCATCTCGATTACCATATCAGCACTTTGTGATATTCATTATTTACCTGTTTTAAACTGACAAATACCTTTTGTCAGATCTTTTTTTATTTATTATTTCCTTTTTATTCCTTTTAGAATTTTCTTTTTCTTTTTTCGAGGGGTGTATTTTGAGAACTGAGAGTGCACCTTCCCTCTTGCTCCTTCTGACTTAAAGTCAACCTCACTTAACTGTTAATGAAACAGCTGCAGCTGACCATCAATGCCAGGCATCAGTCCTCCATTGGCAATTTGCAGTTTTAAATATGAAGCTTTTTTCATAAATCTGCAAGTTTTCTGTGTCCATAAAACATGGAGATTTCATAAATCTGCAAGTTTTATGGATGCATGGCTTTCTAAATAGTGCGAAACTCCAACATCAAATCAGATTTTTATGGATTACTCAATAATGATTTTAAAGTTATCACATGTATGAAGCTGATTTGCTTTTGGGGAGCCGCATTATGTGCATTGATTCTGACCTTCTAGCATCATCTCTCTTGTTAGCTAAATAATACATTTAACAGGCCCTTTGCTCTTGTTTAAATCACTAAATTGACATCACGTAAATTTGTACATGTTGGACTTTAGAAGTGCATGGCTGACAAATCCAAAAACATCTACTTATGACACCAAACCATGATCCTGGAGATCAGACTAACTCTCACCCTTATGACCATTTACATAGATGGCTGAAAGGGCAGCAGGAGGACAAACAGGACACAGATGTGCACTATCACTCACTGACCGGTGAGGGGAACTTTAACTGGCGCTTCGTCTTCCCTTTTGATTATCTCATGGCTGAGGAGAAGATTGTCATCTCTAAGAAGGAGTCCATGTTTTCCTGGGATGAGACCGAATACAAAATCCCTCCTCGTCTCACGCTGCAGGTCTGGGATGCAGACCACTTCTCTGCTGATGATTTCCTGGGTGAGGATGATTTTTTTTTTGCAATCCTTTCATCTGACATGGACTACAGGGACAAAAGTACTGGGCCACTTACACATTTAACTTACAGGAGCTACTCAGCCAAGGATACCCATGGCATGAAGCTCTTGGCACACAGTTTTTGTGCTGATGTTAATGCCAGATGAGGTTTGGAGCTCTGTAGCCTTTGAGCCAGCAGAGCATTGGCAACTTTTATGTGCTTCAGCTCTCCGCTGCCAATTTGCAATAATACTGCTTACAGTTGCCTGTGGAACATCCAGGAGGGAAGAAATTGCACAAACTGACTTGTTGCACTGTTGGTATGCCAGTCTAGTACCATACTTGCAGTCACTGAGCTCTTTAGAATAACAAATGTTTGTACAGATAGACTACAGGTAGGCATTTGCTTTTATCAGGGTTACTAAATTACGTCTAATAGACTTCTAATAGAAGGAGCACTGACAGTAACTACAATCTCACAAATGCTCATGTAGTTCTGCTGTAGTTTCAGCCAGCCATACTCTTAGCTGCTTATCCAGTTCAGTGTCTTGGAGAGCATATCCCAGTTGTCAGAGGGCAAGAGGAGGAGGACAGGTCAACAATCCATCACAGGCCCGATACAGAGAGAGAGAGAGAAAGAACTGTCCACACTCACACTGACACCTACGATTAATTTAAAATCACCAATGAACCTAACATGCATGTCTCTGGACTTGGAGAGAAAGCCAGGGTACCCAGAGAGAACTCATGCAGGCACAGGAGGAACAAAGGAGCAGTTAGTTTGATATAAATGCATTTTATGGATGACTTTCTTTGTAGCTGTTTGTTTTCAGCTAAGTCATCCTTTTCTTAACATCCTCAGTGTATAAAAAAAGAGTACTGGCTATTCCAAATTGACTTATTTTGCTTTCACCATTCCCAGGTGCAATCGAGCTGGACCTAAACCGTTTTCCTCGGGGCGCAAAGACAGCCAAGCAGTGCACTCTTGACATGATTCGAAATGAGCAGGATCTGCCAACCATTTCGATCTTTAAACAAAAGAGGGTTAAAGGATGGTGGCCATTCGTAGCCCGTAATGAGAATGATGAAATGGAGCTCACGGTAAGACAGTCAAGAGTGAAAATGAGCAAAATCATGACTGGTTTATTATGATTCTTATGATAATACTTATAATACTTAGAAAGACATTTTCAAGGTAGTAAAGCTTGGTGTAGAATTAGCGGTATAAGGGGGGGGGGGGATAAGTGAACATACATAAAATTGTGAGTTCAGTTCAAAGCAAACCGTGTGTGTGTGTGTGTGTGTGTGTGTGTGTGTGCATTAATCCACCTGTGTTCACAATATATGATATCTTCTAAAAGTCCTTCAGATTAAAAAAGTAGAGGAAAAGAAAATGTTTTTTCATTTAGATTCTTATACTACATGAATATCCTCTTTACCCCAAAACAGATATTTTATAGTCAGCATTTTGTATGTGGTAGGACTTCTTTATTTTGAGTTCTGTTTTCAATGTCATTACAGGGGAAAGTTGAAGCTGAGCTTCACCTAGTGACAGCAGAGGAAGCAGAGAAAAGCCCTGTAGGACTGGGACGAAATGAGCCAGATCCACTGGAAAAACCAAAGTAAGATATTAACGGGTTATGTTTAAAAAAATATATACAAGAACTTGTGTTTTGCAAACACACACACACACACACACACTGGTTTCAGAGTTAAAAAATTTTAACGCTTGTCTGGAACAGAAAAAGACAGACATGAGCAAGTGTTTAACTTTGTCTTTAGGAAAATCATTCTATCAGTGCAAAAAGCAGTGTTTCTAAAACATCATAAGGTGCTGCCACTTAAAATCGATATTTTTTTTAAAGATGTAAAACATTTTCCAGTTAGCCTCTAGCATTGCTTTCTGCACTGTCAAAAGGCCACTGTTACACACTCGTTACTCCTCCTATCATCTCTTCAACTGTCTCCCTGTCTTTCCCCTCATCCCTCCCCTTTCATGTGCGCGTTATTCTTCTCCTTACCCTCCCCCCACCCTCCCCCCTATTTGCCTCAACTGCATTCCTTCCCTCCCTCTTTCTCTTCCTTCTCCCGCAAAGTCGCCCGGACACCAGTCTTATGTGGTTTCTGACCCCTCTGAAGTCCATTCGTTACTTCATCTGGCACAACTACCGCTGGCTGATCCTCAAGGTCTTGGGGCTGATTCTGCTGCTGCTCATGCTGGGCCTCTTCCTCTACTCAATCCCTGGTTACCTGGTCAAGAAGATGCTGGGGGCCTGATGCGCTGGTAGCCTCCGCCCCCTCTTCACTTTGTCTGCTTCTCTTTTTGCCCCTGGATTCTTCTCTCTTAACTTTAGCTCCTCTCCTTTTTTTCCAGCCAAGCTCAGTTTCTTAGTCTTCTCTGTTGTCTTAGAAGTAGACTAGTCGTCTGTGTCCTTTATTGTATCTTGTCTTAGCCCTGTGTGCAAGTCAGTGTCATTTGCCACCAAGCGTCATTATAAATCTTGTTACCACCCATATTGTGACCAACTGTTTAGTGTGGACACATGTAGGGATGCTTTGACTTAAGGTGAACAAGGTGGTTGAAATATCCATGTTCTTATCAAGTGGGATGATTGGTAGAGAAGGGAAATGTATAGACAAATTAAAAATTACATAATTCTAAAGATGTGAGGGTTAAAATGTATATATATATATATATATATATATTTTTTAATCCAAAAATGACAAAATGAAGTCAAAACGTTTAATGGTAGTTGAATAGTGGCTCCAAGAATGCAAAGCCCATGAGGCAAAACTACAAAGAAACATCAACAAATGCAAGGATTACACTATGATGAGAAACAGACAAAGGACATAGGGAGACATGGAGCTATATATACAGTACACACATAAGGTAATCAAGAGAAGTTGAAACATCAGGGGTAACAAATCACAGCTGAAGGAAGTTCAAAGAAGACATAGGCAGTAAAATTAAATGAAAGTCACAAGAAATGACAGAGTTTCAAAAGTATCAAGAGTATCAAAATAAAATGGAGAAAAACAGGGAAATACCAAACACAGGAAAGAAAAAGACAAAACCCTGAAACCTGAAAATTATATCATTGATTATATTAATAAAACCTGTATTTAAGCATATTAAACCGTAGTTGTTTGCTTACAAGCAACAAAATATAAAAAGAGTTCCTGTATTTTTTAGTAATGTTGTGCTAAGTATTTTTGCATACTTTGTGGGCATTTCAACATCGTATCTAGGCAAACGAGTCCATCGGCCATCTACAATATGAAAAAATCTCATCCCATTTTATGAGAAAAAACCTGTGAATTGTAATGCACTATAAGCTGTATGAGTGCCTACATCCAGGATATTTCTGGATTCTGGTTTCCAGGGTGGGGAGCGGTGGGGGGCAATAAGCATCTGTTGCAAACATTTGCCAGAAATGTCAGTCTTTTGAGCTGTTGGTCAATCATCATCCACTCATTTACATGTGTCAACATACTCATTCTGCATAATAGAAAGCTTCCACTCTGTGATGTGTTTTTTTGCTCCTGTGAAACATAATACTGATAGAAATGTGAACCGTGAGCATGCATATTATTGCAACATGGCTTACTAACACCAGCTTTCTCTTTCTGTCCTACTCCTCTTTATTTGCTCCCTTTCATTGTCCACCATTACTCACCCCTTCTCACCCTCCTTTAACTCAACACTCCTTCCACTTCCATGTTTTCCTCACCATTTCTTTATTTTCATCCTCTTAAAAACTCCACCTGAACCATCCAGTCGCCCAGACACCACCTTCCTCTGGTTCCTGAGCCCGCTGAAAGCAATCCGCTACCTGGTGTGCAACCGCTACAAGTGGCTGATCATCAAGATAGTGCTGGCCCTGCTGCTGCTCATCATGGTGGGCCTCTTCCTCTACAGCATGCCAGGCTACCTTGTCAAGAAGCTGCTGGGGGCCTAAGTCACTGCTAGGGGGATGGGGAGGGGAAGGGTGGCTACATGGATAGATGGATGGATAAGTGAAAGGGAGCAACACTGATGGGAGACAAGACTGCTATGTTTTCTCCTCTCTAATCCAATCTGAGCTTCATAATCAGCTCACACCTTCCCCTCTTAGCACTGAAAGGAGAAGGGAACACCATCGAAAGTGACTGCCCCACTGCCCCTTCCTTGCCCCCCTGGCTCCCAAGTAATGAAGATCCAACTAACAACTCTGCAAAACAGCTAACAAATCTAATGCACAATATTTGGACTCAATCCTTTTAAACGATTACACAGAAATTACATGGCACAAAGTAACCCCCGATCGAACCTGAAAATCCTCTGAAGCAATGCTACATGAAAGTGGGTGGTTCTGTATTTGTTTCAGCCTTCAGTTTATTTTATATGTTCCAGGGTTAGTGGTCAGGCGATTGCACTTTCAAGTCATACTATATGAGCTCTTGTTACTGTTTTAGCTTAAGAGGGAATGGACAAAACTTTGGGTAACACTTTAACCCTGCCACCATTTTATTTATAAGCACTATATTGAATAAATGGTTTGTGGTGTGGTGTTATAATGTGGAGAAATTGAACATAGTGTTAGTTCAGGCAGGCCTCAAAGTCCCCACAGATCAACTGATATCAATTAGCCCACAGCTAATGGCTCAGATTATATTTATCTATTAGATTCTATTTAGGATGTTTTAGCCAGCCTACAGTTGCTCCATGTGGCAAGCTGCTTTGCAAACCACATTCATTCCAGTTCCTCCTTCTAATGCTGTTTGCTCATTATGTTCCGAGACATAATGAGTGTTGCATCATGTCTCAGAACAGAGTAAATATAAATTACTGCAGATGGAAATATCTCTGAAATTTAAGGACCTTTGAAGTCATTATTGATGTGGAGTACTTGTCAACAGCTATAACTTATTACGTAATGATATAATAATTCTTTATCTGTTTATAACCCAGCTTTCTCTAGTCACTGCTCTCACGAGAAGTTATATTTTCATTAGAGTTTGTTATAAACTGTATATGAAATTTCGATTCAGTGCTTATAAATACTAAATGAGGTTAAAGTGTTACCTTTTTAACTGTTATTGGTATTGCAGTTTTTGCACACTTATATAGTAATAATAATAAGGAAACAAAAATAATTCTATTTTCCTAGTAAATTTCAGTGAGACATAGAACAAGATGACTTAGTTATTAATTGTTTAATTAATGAGCATTTTGTGGTGTTTAGTTTATCTGCAGTTTTAAAGATTTCTCCTTAAGAATAAAAACAAAAACTGATTTTGCAAATGATTCAAATCTCCCCCTCATTTTTATAATTGTGTTATTGTGCAAGCATGGGTGTTCACAGCAGCTTCCCTCTGGATGTCCTGAGTTTTATGTGTGTGTGTAATTATGTAAATGCTCTCCAGCCTCGTCTTCTGACTCATAAACGTCACTCATAAAAATCCCAGAGAAAATTAAAATAAATAATTTGTGATTATCATTTTGACCAGGGTCTGTTTAATAATCCTCCAAAGTTACAGACATGTAAAGGTGATCACTGTTGGCTACAGTATATGTTAATATGCATGCATCACTGTGATAACTGACCAAAGTGGTCATGTGTGTTAGCATGACTTGTCTTTCCAGCTCGACGCAAACCAAATCACCAACCCTGTTGTCTTTAACGTTAACGAAAATGTAAAAGATGATTTTTATGGGAATATTAGTCAAATATGTCGGGGTTACTTCTGAAAACTCTGTTTTTGTCTCCAGACAAAAGTGTGTGGTGTCCTTTACGTTTAGTTTGCCTGTGGTTGGAACCTTTGCTTGTGATACTGTGTTTCACTGTTTGCAATAAACTTGCCTGTTTTTACAATGGGTTTGTGTATTCATATACATTGTTTGTTTTGACAATTTGAAATAGACTGAATTACACTGATAACATAACACCCCCACTGTCATGGTCCTGGGTCGTTGACCCAGCGTTTTGTGTTTTGTGATTATTTCCCTCTGTCTAGTTATTCTGTGTCCTCCCCCCTTGTGTCCGGTTCGGGTTCTAGATTTCCTGTTTTGTTCTGAAAGTCTGTGTCTGTTGTCATTGTGTTCAGCTTGTGTCCTCCAGTCATCATGTGTATTCAGATCAGCTGTTCTTCCCTCCTGTGTGCGATTACCTGATTACCTTGTGTGTGTATATTTAGTGGGTGTCGGTCTGTGTTTGTTGTCGGCTCGTCTGCGTTCATCCATGTATCACTGCGTTAATCTACATTCATCTGCGTTCTATGGTGTTCCTGTCTCTGCGTCTCTCTGCCCCGCACCCCTTTGTATGGTCCCAGGTTTGTCACTTAGTTTCTCCCAGTTTAGGTTTCCGTTTGTAATTACTCGTGCTTCATTGCCTGTTTTTGCCACTACCACCCTGTAAATAAAACGTCACTCGTATCATCAGTTTGCTGCATTTTGGGTCCTCCTTTTCCTCCACACCACACGGCTCCCTCCGCCAGCCGTGACACCCATAGTGCTAGTTATCCTTAAAAGTATGCTGATGATTCTTGCCCCTGTGGGGCTCAAAGGACAAAAAGAAGTTTACAGCTCTCAAACAGCTGACAAGGATGCCATTAATGTTTACATCCTGTCGTGCTGTGATGAGCATTAAGTTCAGTTTCATTGTTTAGCCAAAACCCTGAGCACTAAATCCTCACTAAAGGATTCATTTAGATTTAAAGATCTGATTTGGGTTAAAATAAATAAATTAATAGAATATTAAAAGTGAGAAAAAAATGAATGACTAAGCTGGTATCTAACACACTAACTTAGACGTTTTCATCCAACTGTCCCACTTACTATTTATTTTAGACAGGAGTGTCGCATTTGTTTTTACTAAGTTCCAGACTGGGAAATAAGAATGGCTTAAAGGCCTGCAGCGATATAGACATATATATATATAGCTATATAGATTGACATGCTTGACTAACATTATTATTTTGTTGCACACAAAACCCTCAACCAGTACACTAAAATGTATTTTTATGTTTTTGGTACAGAAGTATTCTCTGGAGAAAAAAGGAATGAAAGTCGGTATAAGTGAAACAGAATACGTGTGTGAGCGAGAGAGATGGGTGTAACAGTGAAACTGCAAGGAGCAGAGGTAGTGAACACAGATCGTTTTACAAGCTTTACAAGACGGCAGTGAGACCTGATGTGATTAAGATTTTCACTGGGAAAGACCAGGATGGACAATGCACAGGGTTGGTGTGCCATACCTATCACGAGGTGATAAGGTGAGATGAAGGCAGATGATCCAGTATGACAACCCCTAAAGAGAGCAGCTAAAGCATTGGTCCCCAATCCCAGTCTGCGAGGGTCGGTGTCCCTGCAGGTTTTAGATCTCACACACCTGAATCAAATGATTAGTTCATTACCAGGCCTCTGGAGAACTTCAAGACATGTTGAGATGGTAATTTATTTATTTAAATCAGCTGTGATGGATCAAAGACACATCTAAAACCTGCAGGGACACCGGCCCTCGTGGACTGGGATTGGGGACCCCTGAGCTAAAGGCTTGTAGACTACTGCAGACAACTTGCTCAGCAGAAAAGGCAAATCAAGTTAGTGACTAGTTCACATTGGCCTGAAGAATTTCCTTCAGCAGCATCAAAAACAGAGCCAAAAAGATATTGGGCTTTAATTTTATTTGGATTTTATTGGATGTTAATTCAACTAATTACAGACAAATTTTCTCAATTAGCTCCAAAATCAAAATTAAACTTACTAACAATCTAACATGCTTTTTTTGAATTTCAGTGACTGCTGTTTGATTTATGAATCTGTCTTTGCAGTCGCCCCAATGCCAGCATGTCGTGGCTGCTGGCTCCAGTGAGGACGATGTGTATCCTGGCCTGGAGGCACTACAAGCTGCACTGTGTGATGCTGCTGGTTGCTGTACTGGGTCTGCTCTTTCTGGTTCTGCTCTTCTTCTCTCTGCCCTCAGCGCTCAGCCACAAGCTGTTTAACATTGCTGGGTAGAGACGAACCACACACACATCCTCTGTGTACTGTTGTTTACACTGAACCACACTGTATGTGTTTGATTAACTACACTGTAAGACTATTTTTCTTTTACATTTGTAAAAAATAAATAAATAAAAAATCTCACACTACATTATCATTTAATGGTGTTTTTTTTTTTTTTGTTTGTTTTTTAAATGAACACAAAGGCGCTTCCAGTGCTCTCGGACTCCACAGTGATTATTCATTAATTAGAGCTCCGGGTACCTGTCAGAGAGGCAGAGAAGATGTTAGATCCATGATGTTCTGCTCAGTTGGGATTTTAAAGCCCTTTTGTTTTACTGATTGCTATGATTATAGTTTAATTTGATAAATGTTTCTTATTTTATCATTTAATTATTCATTGTATTGGAAGTAAGTACTTGAAATTAATAACAATAATAATAATAATACCCAGAATTGGCCAGAGGTATAAGAGGTATTCAGATTAAATGACCTGTTCATTCAGTCAAAAACACTCTAAAATTCAGTCAAATCTGAAATCTGAAAATGTTTGCATTGAAAAAGCTGGATAGTTAATCATTTGTAGCATTAACCACTAATTATTATTATAAATGATCAAAGCTTCCTGTTTTAATATACAGGGTGTATCAAAAAAGAATTGTCTGATTTCAAAAGCCTATATTTTAATAGTAATAGACAGTAATTTTAAAATACGTGGCTGAATATAAAGTTTTACATACAAAACTTCCAGTTTGCTCAATGTGTCCTCCCAGCATACGTCCATGTGATTGTCAAACTCATCCCACACTTTTGCGAGTATCTGGAGTCATTGCTGTAATAATGTCACCACATCAAACTCACTCTTTCTAACAGTACGTGTGTCGCTCGATGCCGGTGAACAGTTAAAGCACTTTGAAATTTGGTGATTCTTTTTGATACACCCTGTGCTATGATGGTAAAGGCCCTATGTTTTATCATTATTCTTATTCGCACTAGATTACAGTGCTGTAAACTTAAACATAAGTGCACGTACTGCTGAGTATCTGTTGCAGCTGCATCCGCAGCTTAGTGTTCTGCTGCCTCAGGAGCTCAGTTTCAGGGACAAGCTCAGAGATATCCATCAGGACCTCTCTGGAAAGACACACACACACAAAAATGACTGATCTGATTCAGAGGTATTCCTGCTTTCAGTGTAGGTGTTACTCACTCATACTGCTTTAATTCCCTTTCTGCTGCATCCCACAGCTTGAGTTTGTCCTCAGTGATAATGTTGCCAAGCCTATCCCAGTAGGCTTCTTCCACTGAGGTATCTCTAGCTGGATGGCTTAAACTGGAACGCTCGTGGACAGACCTCCGTTTTCAAAGCGCAACAGGAAAAAATTAGTATAAAACACTCACACAGAGGAAGAGACACGGGACTGATGATTCAATATGTAGTCTTACTTCCTGTGCTGCTCAAGGAAACATCGTAAAGCAGGCAAGATGTTGTTAGGGTTGATGAGTCTGGAGGTTGAATCAGCTGTGGCGCTGTTCTCCATGGCCTCTGCCTCCTCAACAAAATGACCCTGCAGCCAGAACAAAAACACTGACAGAAGATACAAGAACAGTAGTTGTCTAATCACAAAGGCCATATTCAGTACAAGCCCACTGCTCATTCGATTCCTCACCACAGTCTGCTCTCCTTGTTGACGTTTGTACATGAGTAAAAACTCAGCCAACTTGGCTAAATCCTTTTCTTCAAGACCCAGAACCTAAAAGAGAAAACAGCATGTGTGATTTTCAATAGTAACTACATGAAAAACATGAAAAGGAGCACTAAATGTGAACTCACAGCAAAGAGAGAATGCAGCTTCACAGTGGTCTGTTCATTTTTCTCCATGGGGGCCAGCAGCTTCCGCAGTTTATCTTCCACCAGGAATCCCTAAGTTGGGAGGAAGATATTTATCTTAAAGGCTCTTGTAACTGCAATTTTGCATTTTTTTATCTGTTTTTTTCTTTGGTTTTACAAAAGTAGTGTTTCTCTATAATAATACCTGACTGACTATGCAAAAACTGAGATATACTGCTAACACCCTACTTAAGTCATCTGCTTTGTCAAATGTGAATATTTTCCATATATAATTGTACTTTGTTTTTTACCCTGCAATAAAAGGCATAATTTGTATTGTGTAGTTATGAAATGTTATTAAATGGTTTTATTGCTCTAGCTTCCTGAGCTTATTCTCAAATTTCCAAATTAAATAACATCCCAAAATGTATCAGCCCTGCTAAAGCTCATCATTTAACTTTGTTCTTGTTTAATCTGTACCAAAGCTTAATTAGAAAAGCTTAGCTTGACAAAAATTTCTCATGTAATTACTGACATGTTACTGACGTGTCTAGTATGATATAAATACTGCACATCTGTGGATGTCTAAGGAACATGTGCAATTCATGCCCCGTTCTACAACAACCGCCTCCATACTGTCATCATTCATAAACACAACCTGTGGACTTGTTTCTAACCGTTTCATCACAAAGCAGCTCCATCGCTTTCATCAGCATCTCTGAGGATAGCTCCCCTTCCTCCACCCCTGTGCCGTGCTCTGAGTCCCTCTCCAGGCTGGGCCCGACTGATGCATCCATCATCCTCTGGCTGCAGTGTGAAAGATGCCTGGTTTGCAAGGGGTGACTGGTGGGGTTAGTGTCATGCTCCTGAGATCTGCGGGGACCAGGTGACTCCATGAAGGCAGCTGAAGGACATTCCCAGGCTAAACCAAGGTGCTTGCAGATCAGAGAGTCAATGGCCAAAGCCTTCTCCGCTAGCTGTGTCACCTCTTCCTCCATCATTACCCACATCTCCTCAAACTTTCGGGCATCAGCGGC